ATGAGGAAGAAGAAGTAGAATACTGAAGAAGATGAAAAAGATGAAGAAAGAGAAGATGATGATGAAGGAGAATATTGAAGAAAAAAGAAAAAGAGGAGGAGGAAGGAGAAGGAGAAAAGGAAGATGATAATGAAGAAGAAAGCGAAGAAGAAGAAAATGAAGAAGAAGAAGAATGAGATGGAGAAAAGGGGGATGATGAAGATCATGATGACGAAGAAAGCGAAGAAGAAGAAGAGGAAGATGATGATGATTATGATGATGATGATGAAGAAGAAGAAGAAGAGGAGGAGGAGGAAGAAGAAGAAATTGCGAATGGAAGTAATAAATGATAAAAGAAAAAGGATGAATGTCGGAAAAAATCGAGAAGACGAAGTTTTTTCTTCAAATTTTCTTTTTCGAAGGAAATTGCGAATGAAAGCATTAAAGAAAGATGCTTCCAAAAAAAAAAAAAAGAAAAAAAAGTAAAAGAAAAACATCAAGAGGAAGAAAAAGGAAACAGGAACATTGAGAATGAAAAAAAAAGAAATAAGTTTTTGTCTGAATTTTGTGTATGAGGAATTATTATGTAGACTATATTTGGTCTTCATCGTTGTTTTTTTTTTCAAAACGTATTAACCATTGTGCCCTCTGGCATTCCTCGGGTGTATATCGATCTATGTAACATACAGATAATTCAAAACTGAACCCTTTATTTAATCTACGCTTGACTGTTCTCGTTCCACTGCCCATGTCTCGGGATATCTCGTCTAGTTCTTATTTTTAGTACTGCTCATTTATTGCTCGCCCTGTAGGTTACCCGGATCGATATATTCAGGGAATTCCAAACTGAACCCTTTTATTTAATCTACGGGGGTAGACTGTTCTCGTTCCACTGTTCATGTCTCGGGATATCTCGTCTAGTTCTTATCATTTTAGTACTGCCAAGTTATCGCTCGTTTGTTTCAACTGAATGTATGTACACATTGTCTGACCCAGGGATTCATCTCACACCCATTAAGTCACCAAATTCACAAGCCAACGTTTTACACACAAAGCCATTTTCCTATAAACGTAGTAAACTTAGCGCTTTAAACCTAACCTGACCGGTACGTTCATTGAGAACTAATGCATTTTCTTATTATTTTACCGTTGCTTGAAAGCCAGCAGACCATTAAGAAAGCTTGGGGTAGCCAGTAACATGACTGACAGAGAAAACAATGAAAACGCTACACCAGAACGAGGCCTAAAAATATTAAAATGAAACAAAGAATTAGATGCTATCAAACATGTAGAAAGCAAAGAATAAACACAGTACGAAGTAATTTATTTGTAATCGGATTATGTCTATAAAGACCCTAGTTGAAATGGCTTGCGAAGTTAGGTAACGTCGAACCTAGTGAATCGATGGGTAACTGTTTGGGAATACCAACCACTGGAAGAATGATAAAAATATACTAAGACGCTAAATTTAGGCTTGGTAATGTTAGTTACGATTATATTTCCTTCAGCGTTCGTAATAACGTTTTTTTGGTTGATATTTCGCTTTAAGAAAAATGAACCAAAAAATAATTATAGAATTCTTAAATAACACAAAATAATATGTTAATTTTTTTTTCTTAAAACGATACAGCATAATTTTAACAAGATTATTATTATTATCATTATTATTATTATTATTATTATTATTATTATTATTATTATTATTATTATTATTTCCTTTGATTTCTGGTATGTACACATTTCTTTCCGGGTCTCGCCCGGAGACCTAAGGTTAGAAAAGGGATCATGATATTTTCCACTGCAAAAAAAAAAAAATTAAAATAAAATAAAATATTTTACATAGATAAAACTCTTCGTAAGAACAGTTTTTTGTATTTCTTTAAGGTATGGGCTTCCAGGAATCCCTTCAATTAGTCTACTGGAATCTTTTCCAATCAATACCTAGGGCTCCAACTACAACGGGATTGTTGATGTTCCCATGTGCCATATTTTTGAGGTTTCGATTTCAAGGTCCTTGTATTTTGACAGCTTTTTGAAGATTATTATTATTATTAGTAGTAGTAGTACTACTACTACTACTATTATTATTATTATTATTATTATTATTTTTATTTTCTTTGATTTCTGGCGTTTACACATTTCTTTCCTGGTCCCGCCCAGGAACCTAAGGTTAGAAATGGCGTCATGACACTTTCCACTGACAAGAGAAAAAAAAAGTATTAAATTACATAGATAAAGCACTTCGTAAGGTGCGGGCTGTACTTGTCAGAACAATTTTTGTATCTCCTTGAGGCATGGACTTCCAGGAATCCCTTCAATTAGTCTACTGCAATCTTTCCCAACCAATCCTAAGGCTCCAACTACAACAGGGATTGTTGATGTTCCCATATGCCACATTTTCGAGATTTCTATTTCAAGGTCCTTGTATTTTGACAACTTTTTGAATATCTTCAAAGATACATTTCAGTCGGCAGGGACTGCCATATCAATAAGGAGGCACCGTTTTTGTTTGTGGTCTTTAATAACAATATCTGGCCAGTTGGCCTTGATTGTTCTGTCACTGTAACATTATCATTATTAATATTATTATCATTATAATTATTATTATCATTATTATTATTATCATTATAATTATTATTATTTTTATTATTATTATTATTATTTCATTGTTATTATTATCATTATTATTATTATATTTCAAATATTACACTATGGTGATTTAGTAAAAACTATGGAACACACAGTGAGTCTCGAATTCAGTATTCAGTCATGATCGATCTAGCGAAAACCTTTCTCCATGTAACTATCGGCTTACCGAAGTTAAACAACGGAGATCCTGGTCACTAGCTAGATGGGTGACCGCTTGAAAATACCAGCTGCTAAAAGCTATGGTTCTGCGTTTTTGTAATGGATGATGGCTCGGAATTTTCAATTGGATTGGCGAGCTCCATTTCCTGTTTGGTTCGTTATATCCACTTACGCTCAAAATACCCTTGGGAAAAGGTACGAATCCACCACTTCTCCACCAGCTATAGGTTAATTAGGACGACTTTTATTACTAAATCACTGTTATCTAAAAACATTCTTAAAATCTAAATCTATTTTGCGGCTTTAAATAACCTGCAAATGGTTGATAAGCCGGAGAAAATGAATCAATCAGTGAAATACAGGTTAGCTACGCAGGCGTGGAAAGTCTCTGGAATATAAATGAATAGAAACTACCGTGGTCATAAAGTGAGGGATCATTTTATATATTTATTGCAATGTAGAATTGATCCCCCACTTGATTCCCACATTATCATTTTTGGATTGTTGATAAGCCGTAAAAAACGAATCAATCATTTAATAAACTACTGATTAGCTACACAGGCCTGGATTTTAAATTTATTTTCAATGTCTGAATATAAAATATATAGGAAATATCGTGACGACCAAGTGAGGGATCATTTTAGATATTGATTATAATGTAGAAGTGATCCTCCACTTTATGTCCCCATTATAATTTATTGTTTTGTGATAAGCTGTAGGAAATGAATCAATCATTTAATAAAATACTGATTAGCTTCCCAGCAATGTCTTTTAGATTTATTTACATTCTCTGTAAATTTATAGAAATTATCATGGCCAGAAAATCGGGGATCCGTTTATATACTGATTGTAATATAGAACTGATGTCCCATTTTATAACCACATTATATTTTTTTGTTTTTTTATCAAATTCTGGTTAGGTATGAATCCACATTTTAGCCCCAGCTATGGGTTAATCAATAAGACTTGTATCATTAAATCATTATTATCTAAAAAGAAATTCTTACAACCTAAAATATTTTCTGGCTTTAAATAACCTGCAAAGTATCGATAAACCATAAAAATCAAATCAATCAGTTATTATTTAAGCTACAAGATATACTTTAACAGACGATTTACTTGAATAAGGAATGTTTCAACATTCCAAGAGAGTTGCTAACTATGGCAGACACCTGAAGAAGCTCGGAGACTTTAACGGTCAAACTTATTGGGGATATCAACGAAGAAGTTAAAATCTAACAGGGTTCTTAAGGGTTTTTTAAATTATGAAACGCATTAAAATATCAAAGGTTTTTATAAATGTTGTCAAATATGTTTAAAAAGTGTCTACTCCTTTGTTTCTCAAGCTTTTTAAGCAACGGCACACCTCAAAGCACACTCGGATAATGGATAGAGGTGAGTCTTGTATCCGTAAACAATTATTAATCTTCTGTCTTTACATAACCTGAAAAGTGTTTTATAAACAGTAGAAAATGAAATAAGCAACCACTTAGGTGAAATGAAGGAAGTGGATATCAAAGAAACTTACTCGGAAGGAACATCTTTCACATTTTTTATATTGCTAGTAGTAATGGTGGAAAGGGTTTCATCCAATTAAAATTGACTTAGGAAACAACGATTAATGGTATAACTCACTTTCGTAATAGGCCAGCTATAAAAAAGAAATATAAATGCTGTTTTTATTATTATTATTAGTAGTAGTAGTAGCAGTAGTAGTAATAATAATAATAATAATGAACATGAAAGTAGTAAGTTATTTACTCAGTAATAATGGAGGGCAACAAGTTCAAAATGGAGTCTCAAGTTTCAAATACAAATAAAGCATAATACACTGACTGAAGCTGTAAAACACACAAAAAAGAAAGCAAAAACAATGCAACCGACCAGATACAGAATCGATGTTAAGATAACCCGTTTCACGATCAGTATTCTTCCCGTACCACACAAGCTGATGTAGACAAAAACCCCGTACCCATCAGTGGCTACGTAGTGCAAGGTTAAAAATCTGAAACTGAAAGTTTTATTCTTGCTGCACAGGACGACGCTATACCTACGGGAGAGTTATCTTCTCTTGACGAGACTACATTTCTCAGAGAGAATACCTATCAAGCTACAAATATGATTGCAATTTATTACAGTAATAAATTGATAAATGAAATAGAGGGATAATTAACACCATAAATAATGAATACATTTTATTTATTTCAGACAAAAAATTCCTTGCAGAACTTAAAATGAATACCGTTAAATGATAAACTAAAAATATCTCCATTTCTTTTTGACATTTTCGCTGTTTAAAGTCACAAAAATTACGGAACAGCACACTTATGTCTACTCAATACAAGCAGGTTTGGCGGGCTCAGGTCACTCAGCCAATCTGGGTGAGTGATAGTTACGTCATACATAAGAGGTACAGGTCAAGTAAGTAAGCTTTTTGCTCACCAAACTCCACACTGAAAATATTTTTAGAGTTTTTCAGTTTTCAACTGTTCAAATATGGGATTGTCAACTTGCATAAGTTATTTTAAGAAGTTTAATTATTATATTTTTATTGCAAATTATAATAAAATGTTTTGTTTGTGTTAATAAATAAATCATAAAAATTATATTCCTATTTTTTTGCTCTTTTTTTGATCATCACAATTTACATGTGCTTCGGAAGTTTAACTATAGGTTCAAGAGTGCTGGGGGATAAAAAAAGGTTGTAAAGATTTGTGCTAGGGATTGTTTTGGCGAGAAATCCATTTTTTTATTTGTGTATATGTCAGGAAATTCAATTTTTTATTTGTGTATATGTCAGGAAATTACAAAAGGGGAAATATTAACAGAAGTAAGAAATTAAAGGATTGCAATTAAAATAACAGATATTACACCATTTTGATTATCCCTTAAAGTTGAATTTACAAACATTAAGAGAAAAAAAAAGTAACAAAAATACTTCTTCTGGTCTTAATATCATATTTGTGCAAAACAATCTTTTCTATAATAAACAATATTAAAAACAAAGATCAATTATGGCTAAAATCTTTGGCGGAAGATTTTTGATTTTGCCTGTCCCATATTCAACCTTCCAAAGAAGATATTCTAAAAATAGTCAAGCTAAATATAACTCATTAAATGTTAAATTATAATAAACAGAAAAATAAATAAACGTTTCTTTTTAAGAATTTCAATTATCTTTTTATTACAAATTATAATAAATTGTTTTGTTTGTGTTAATAAATGAATCATAAAAAATATATTCTTTTTTTATAATCCCATACCCCAAATCCTTGGGGCCAGTTATTTTTTGTTTTGCCAATTTTTGCGGGTTTCAGAAATTCAAATAATATTGCAGTAAAAACGTATAAATACAGACTTTTTGAGGAATAAAAAAAAGATTTCAAATTAAGTTTATTTATAGAGTAATATACTAATAAATAAAATAGAGGGATAATTAAAATCATAATTAATGAATAAAATTTATTTATTTTAGATAAAAAAAATGCATTTTATAACTTAAAAAGGAATAGCATCAAAGGATAAAATAAAAAAAACATATTCGTTGCTCTCACATGCCTCCAAGTCGCTCACTAAAATATATATATATATATATATATAAAAGGATGTGTGTGTTTGTGTGTGTGTGTGTGTGTGTAACGAATGCACGGCCGCAATTTTCGACAGATTTGCACCAAAATTTACATGCACATGCTCCAAGTTAGCGGAAAGGCCAAGACCGATTTGCATTTCCCAACTCCCATCGATAGTGGAAATAATCGATTTTTTTCATGCTTCTACGGCAGTTTTCATGTAGTTTGCGGCCATTTTCTACTGGCTAGAGTGAGAGCCTATAGCTGGCTGCCACGAATAGGCAGGAAGATTCTATTGGCCATCGTGAGAGCCAACAGCTGACTGATTGTTTTATGGTATGGGGCGCGTTTTGTAGGACCCCCTTGAGAAATTATGGTGCATGGAGGATTGATTAGTGATGGACGAGTTTTTATGGTGAATGGGTAAATTGTAATGATTGAAGGGGTCGTGAATCGGATTAGCTAGGTATAAGATAGTTAGTGACGACCAGTCTCTACCCCTCCCCTTTTTGGCCTTGTGCCGCAATTGTGTATCAAACACGATAAATAAACACCTATTGAGTACGCCTATAGTCTTCGCCTATAGTCTTCGCCTATTGCCTACGCCTATTGCCTACCACTGCGACAAATACAGACTGATGTGGAGGTACAGGGACGACGCCTATTGCCTACCACTACGACAAAGACCAGTCCATTACAGTCCATTACTGCAAGATTGTCCTACCCGGTTATAGTAGTCAACAACGACTTTGCTACTTCGAACAAATATATCCCTTTCCGGGACATATCAGTTCAGAAAACCGAATAAATCGGCGAAACATTTTATTAGTATTTCTATTATCAAGTCAGATCAATACAAATTGCAAATATATTAACTCCAAACTCGGAGAAGTGTCATCGGACATTCAATATTTTTTACACCTGAACTTTTTCGTGTTTTTGATGCCATTCCTATAAAATCTCATGTCGTCTTTGGCAAAGATTTTGATATCATCCATGTAGAATAGGTGATTAAACACTTTCTTTTATTATTATTATTATTATTATTATTATTATTATTATTATTATTATTATTATTTCCTTTGATTTATGTTGTGTAGTGATGTAATGAATATGCATACACCTTGGTTGCCCCTCACAGTAATATGAATGGCTGGTGTCAGCCATAAATACAGACTGATGTAGAGGTACAGGTCGACGCCTATTGTATTCGCTTATTGCCTACGCCTATGGCCTACCACTACGACGAGGACCAGTCCATTACGGTTACCTGCTAGATTGTCCTACTCGGTTACAGTAGTCCAAAACCACTTTGCTACTTCGAACAAATACATCCCTTTCAGGAACATATCAATATTGTCGTTTATTTTTCCGTATGTAGTGTTTTCCTATTGTTCATTAGTTTAAGGCAGGCATCGACAAAGTGGGGTGCACCGGTTACATGTGGCCCGTTTCGTTTTCGAAATGGCACTCCGTGAGGAAAATAAGGTTTATTAAAATTTTCTTTATTTCTTTTCATCCTCACTTGTTCACTCACAGTTTCACATGCATAACAACTCTCATAAACAATGATTAAACACAACGTTTCTTGAATTTTGTAACTTGTCGTTGAACTGATTTATCATTTTAAACGATTGGTGATTTTTCATTAAGGAAGACCATGAGTGTAAATATCATAGCCTCTAGAACCCGGACGTTCATAATAATTCTTTTTAGTCTAGAGAAGAACTGTATTTTCTGGTGAAGAAACATATTTTTCTCTAAAGAAGAAATATATTTTTTAATTTAAAAATTATTTTTTGTATTTTCAAACGAATAAATAAGAAACAAATCACATACAACTGTACGTGTTAACCAATATTATCTGTGATAAAAATATGTCAGGATTTTTTTTTTAATTACTGAGAAATCTTTTCTCCAAAAATAATCAACCTTTCAACATTTCTAAGGCGTAAGGCCTTCTGTGATGAAATTTGCTGAAACTGCTTCAACGAAAAATTACCTTGAATCTTTTGAGTAGTGCCGCCCACTTTATGATGAGCCATATATGATGCGGCCCACTGGTCGGAAAAGGTTGCCCAGACCTGATGTAAGTATTAAGGAAACATTTTAGCAACAACCTGGGGGCAACAAGTCCTTGAAGGAAAATGCTTATTTACTGAAGTAAAAAAGTGATTATTTGTATATTGTATAGAAACAATTTACAAAATACAATGTTTCTTGAATTTTTTAAACTTTTCGTTCAACGTAACAACTTCATTATTCTAAACGATTGATAATTTTCACTAAGGGAGACCATGCGTGTAAATATCATTTTCTTTAGAAATAGGACGTCCATACTATTTTTTTTTCTTTTGAGAAGGATTTTTTTTTTTAATTATTTTTTTTGTATTTTCGAATGAACAAATCAGAAAGAATCACCTGCAACCGTGTGTGTTAACTGATAACGTCTATGATGATTTTTTTTATTATAATTTTTTAATTATTGAGAAATGTTTTCAACACTTTTACAATTTTTATAGCAGATGCATAAGCGTACAGTCTTTTGTCATGAAAATGGCTGAGACAGCTTCAACGAAAAATTACTTTGAATTATTCAGCAGTGCGGCCCGCCGTATGATGAACCATATCTGATGCGGCCCACTGGTCGGAAAAGGTTGCTCATGCCTGGTTTAAAATCATCACTTTCACTATAAAATGTAATTAACTTGTCTTTCTATTCCCTTAAATTATGCACAGCCGTTGTTCTAACACTTTATTCCTTGCACAGGGATACTACATTCAAGCTTCTGCAAAAGCTGTATATTTTGTGGTATTGATAACGGGAGATGCTTCCTGTTCAGTTTCTCTGTTGCTCATAAGGGTGTCTGCAGTTATTTTGACATTTTCACTGTATAAAGTCATAAAAATTACAAAACGAAACAAAAATCAGCAAGTGCACATTCACGTCTAACCAACACGACTGCTTCAAAACAACTGACGTTTGGTGTGGTCAGGTCACCAGAAAAAGACAATATTACTATTATTATTAGTGTTGTTTTCAAGGCTATTTTTATAATTTTTAATCATTTCTCCCCGAGGATGGCCATAATTCCATTAAGACGCAAGTGGGAAAAGATTGAGAAGACTTTTGTGAGAAGAAAGGCAAATAAAAGAACAGGTTTCAAGGAGACAGAAGATGGCGATTATGCCACTAAGATGCAAGGGTTTACTGGGAGTGAAAGACAATGTGTTGACATTAGTGAGGAGAAAGGACAATAAAAGAAGAGGTTTCAGGAAGACAGAAGATGGCGATAATGCCATTAAGACGCAATGGGTTACTGGGAGAGAAAGAGAATGAGAAAACTTTAGTGAGGAGAAAGGACAATAAAAGAACAGGTTTCAGAAAGACAGAAGATGGCGATAATGCTACTAAGATGCAAGGGTTTACTGGGAGTGAAAGAGAATGAGAAGACTTTAGGGAGGAGAAAGGACAATAAAAGAACAGGTTTCAGGAAGACAGAAGATGGCGATAATGCCACTAAGACGCAAGGGTTTACTGGGAGTGAAAGAGAATGAGAAGACTTTAGTGAGGAGAAAGGAGAATAAAAGAAAAGGTTTCAGAAAGACAGAAGATGGCGATAATGCCACTAAGACGCCAGGGGTTACTGGGAGTGAAAGAGAATGAGAAGACTTTAGGGAGGAGAAAGGACAATAAAAGAAGAGGCTTCAGGAAGACAGAAGATGTCGATAATGCCACTAATACACAAGGGGTTACTGGAAGTGAAAGACAATGAGTTGCCATTAGTGAGGAGAAAGGACAATAAACGTACATGTTTCAGGAAGACAGAAGATGGCGATAATGCTACTAAGACGCAAGGGTTCCTGGGAGTGAAAGAGAATGAGAAGAATGAGGAGAAAGGAAAACAACAAAAGTGATTTCAGGAAGACAGAAAAGCTGCCCTGAAAATATTTATAGAAAAGTCAGCGTGAAGCCAAGTCGCACCGACACAGTTCAGCAACTTTCATGCCAGCAGACTTAAGTGTTGCTTCAATATAATCAATCTAGCCAGGACCAAAACGTGGAAGCAAGTAGGGGCAATCGGTAGCTCCATTGGGGGTGGGGGTAAGCATAAACCCTACGGGCTAAAGGCCAAATGGTTCTGTATGTTGTTTAGATATGGAATAATGTTCCATGTTTTTGTTATTCTTTTCCTTTATTTAAATGTCTTTTAAATTTTTGCTCTTTATATGCGCATGCGTGACTTTTTCGGCTGCAATTAAATATCCAACAGGTTTACACTGATTACATTTCGAACAGCTTATTGGCCCAGATAGATAGATAGATAGATAGATAGATAGATAGATAGATAGATAGATAGATAGATAGATAAGAAGAGACTGAGATAGATAGATAGATAGATAAGAAGAGTGAGATAGATAGATAGATAGATAGATAGATAGATAGATAGATAGATAATTCAATGACTAACATATTTAGATAGATAATGATATGTCTAAGATAGATAGATAGATAGATAGATAGATAGATAGATAGATAATTCAATGACTTTAGATAGATATTGAACAGATTGAGATAAATAGATCTGAATATAACTGTGATATCCATTTATATATTTAACAGATATACAGTCAGACATTTGCATAGATAGATATGAAGAGAAAGCTATAACCATATAGATATTTAACTGACAATGAAGTCAGATAGATAGATAGATAGATAGATAGATAGATAGATAGATAGATAGATAGATAGATAGATAGATACGCAAACAGGGATAGATAGATAGATAGATAGATAGATAGATAGATAGATAGATAGATAGATAGAAAAAATGAATAGACTGAGATCGCCAAATAGATATTTAACACACAGATATTTAACAGATAAGTATAATATGGAAATGGCTAACATAGATAGATAGATAGATAGATAGATAGATAGATAGATAGATACACAGATAGATTTATATATATGAAGAGACCGATAAAGATCTGAATATATATATATTTATCTGACAATACAGCTAGTTAGATAGAACTGAATAGACTGAGATAATTTAAGTTATTTAATAATACACATAAATATATATATATATATATATATATATATATATATATATATATATATATATATATATATATATATATATATATATATATATATATATATATATATATATATATATATATATATAGAGAGAGAGGAGAAAGGGAAAGAGAGGAATAGAATTTCTCATTTAATACATCGCATAATTCACAGTAGAAGATATGGAAAGAAAGAAAGAAAGAAAGAAAGAAAGAAAGAAAAGAAAGAAAGAAAAGAAAGAAAGAAAGGAAAAGGGTTAGAAATGACAGAGGAGAGAAAGAAGAAAAAGATATAAATAGATAGATAGATAGATAGATAGATAGATAGATAGATATGAAGGGACTGACATAGATCTGAATAGACATATATAGATATTTATCTGACAATACAGTCAGATAGATAGATAGATAGAACTGAATATAGTTATTTAATACATATGTATATATATATATATATATATATATATATATATATATATATATATAGAGAGAGAGAGAGAGAGAGAGAGACAGACAGACAGACAGACAGACAGATAGACAGATCTGAACATAATTATTTAACACAGTCATATATATATATATATATATATAGATAGATAGATAGATAGATAGATAGATAGATATGAAGAGAGTGAGAAATGGATAGAATTTCTCATTAAATACATCTCGTAATTCACAGAATTCTTGGTATGCCTCGTGAACTTTCCAACAATTTGGCACTATAAGGGAAAGCTTCGTCGATTGAAATATCGATTATGTCAAAATTTGATTACGCCTTTGTCTTTTGTCAAGGTGCGTCTTCTATTGCTCTCTTGTCAAAAAGACTTGTACATTTCCTTGACGTCTTCCTTCGCGAAACCCTGGGGAACTCAAAGGAGACAGAATTCTCCAGCTTTTGGCGCGAAAACTACCGCTTCCTTTTTCTTTGCGTTCGGCATCTCTCCTGACCAAGCCTCTTTGAATGAATGGAATAAGAATTTTATTTGCGATCCTGATTCGATTATTCTTCAGACGAGGAAAAAGAAGAATGCTGAACGGAATTTGGGATAGAATCTTAGCAAAAGAAGTTAAGATAATTCTGGCGGTCATTGGGTTTTCATGAAGGCCTTTTCTCGTTCATTGTAATCTTAGATAACAAGGGCAGTTACTTGGGCGGCAGGTAGCAAATTGGGTGGACCGTTAACCCGAAGCTTCCGTTCTTACTTCATATCTTCTTAGTGGACGGTTTTTATTGGCAATGCCCATCTCCTTCCCAAGTATCAAGTGACATATATATTTATATATAGGAATATTCCTGTATGAAGTGACGAAATAAGCAATCGTCAACACGGCTCTACAAATTTAAATAAATTTTTATTATTGAAAGAATTGAATTACTTAGTATCATCAATATAGAATGCGTCTACATAATGTAATGTACGTATTGCGTATTTACGTTTTATGTGTATGTGTGTAATTTTCTAGTATTATCAATAATTAGCAGTCGGTGAACGATAGCTGCATTAATAATACTGTTGAAATCATTGTTTACAATAACTCAGTTTCCACGTTTTGTTTTTTGTTTTGTTTTGTTTTTGTGCAATTTTTTAATATAGTATATTTGTACAAATATATCGAAAATGTGAGTAATTAATTAAGGTTTGAGAATTTTGGCTTATATAACGAACAAACAACCCTGGTATGTGGCCGGACATTTGGCCGACGGACATTTCACTGAAATAGTACAAATAAAAATATTAACAAGCAATATTTTATGTATTTTAATTAGCAGTATTATTTGTTTGTCTTGTCATTTTCATATAAAAAAAAGTAATTGATCTTCCTTCTGTGACTTTCTCTCTGTCTGAGCCTTTTGCTCTGTACTTTGAAGTTGTCTCCAATTACTGATATCCCTCAGTCGAAAATAAATATTCCATATCCATTTTTGCGTCAGGTCCAGCTGTTTTCATTTTAACAAGACCTAAGCTGTCTGATATTACTACACAGGCAAATACGCAGAAGATGACCCATTCCAAGTGGTTCTTACACCGCTACAGGTGATGCAGTTAATGTCTTTTAAGGCCTGTCAAAAGGATAACAGCATCCTGGAGGTATGCTAAGATTTAAAAAGCAAACCAAAGCTCTTAAAATGAAAATATTTCTGAATTACTTTATGAATAATGTATTTTTTACAGCTTATCAACACTATGCATGTTATTTAAATCCAGAAAATATTGTAAGAATTTTTTTTTGAAATAATGGTTTAGCTTGATCATTTAATGCTGAAATTTAATTTTCTTGGGAGCTTTGGTAATTTTTCCAAAAATGTATTACCACTAATTTCTTTTTCTATGGAAATGTTTATTGCTGGTAATTTTTTTATATGAAAATGTATAAATATTTTTACAATAAAAATATATTTTTATATTTTCATAATGTTTTAACTTCAACTTGGTGTTTCACTACTTGCCCATAGCTGGGACCCTAACAGGTGCTACCACTCCAGGTCAAAGTAGACCTGGGAACAACAGCAATTAAGAGGTGATTCCATGGTCCTCACAACCTCCTGATCCGTGGCCGGACATTTGACCAATGGACATTTCACTGAAAATGTACAAGTAAAAATAGTAACAAGCAATACTATAAGTATTTTAATTAGTACTATTATAAGGTAGAATAGGACTAATAATTATCACTGAATTTCAAGTGATTAAATTACTAAATCTAAATTTAAACTTAAAGTTTTCTTATTTCAATATTTGTTTATTGAAATTAGTATTTTTAAAATATTTGAGTGGATTTGGGTAAAAAGTAGGACCTAATTATTTAAATTCGTATTTAACAGTAAGATAAAAGCTAGTTCACCCCTTTAAGATAATGATCATTGAAAGGGAAATTGAAAGAAATGGAGAGAGAAAGGAAGGAAGGAAGAAAAAAAAGAAAGAAAGAAAGAAAGAAAAGGAAGGAAAACGAGTGAAAAAAAAAGGCAAAAAAGTAAAAGGAAAACGGAGGAAAAGAAAGGCGAATTTGATATAAAGGAAGACAAATCGAGAGAAAGGAACACAAATTTGGAAGAAATTAAGGAAAGAAAAGAGAACAGAAGAAAGAAAAAAAAACTGTGTAAGAAAGAAAAAGAAAGAGACATGGAAGAAAAGAAAAAAGAAAAAGGAAAGAACGAAGTCCATATGAAATCGAAAAGAGAGAGAATCAACATGATTGAATTTGTAAATGAATTCAACCAATGAACATCTGCCAAATAATTCATCGGTGTCTTTATTGGCCCAATAACTTGTTCGTCATCGGCACCGATCCAGCCTGAAAGATGGCAGTAAACCTTCAAAAGTTTCATTGCGGTCCTTTGAAATCGTTTTCAAACGACTTCTTCTCCGTTCATTAATTCTTTGAGACATTTGACACGAAGGTCAATATATAGCATCTTCACTTAGGACGTCGGGGCGTGTGGGTAATGTTTGGTAAGACAATTTCAGAGAATATCATTAATGCGTTCAACACTCACTGGGTACGCCTTTTCTACAACTGCACCCATTTGCCAAATCTAAACCATACTTCATATTTAAGAAAGGGAATTTGCCTGATAATGGCGAGCGATCCAGTATAGCAGATCATCACAAGTGAGATCGAACCCTCCTATGAACATATTTTCTTATAGAAAACTAGAATTTTAACTAATTTCCATTCAGGTTTTAATTTTATTTATTTTCGTTCATTTTCGTTTTGTTCGCAAAAAAGGAAACAGATTAAAATTCAAATTAAAAATTGTATATATCAAAATCATAAAGTACAGCTATTTAACTATCTTGAGGTGTTTTGAACAGGGGGCAGGAAGGGATTCACATCCAAAAAGCGCTTTGGGATAGTAAAAGTTGCTTTCTAAAAGCTAAACAAAGTATTAAGAAACTAAAAGATTTCGTTAGAAACAAAGAAAAGAGTACCGAACTATTATGTAATATAATTCTTCCTATATGGCAGTGAATGCTGGACAATCTCCTCACAGATGAAGAGACTTGAAGCAACAGAAACAAACAAAAGCGTACCAAACTGTTATGTAATATCAGCCCTCCTATATGGCAGTGAATGTTGGACAATCTCCTCACAGATAAAGAAGAGACTTGAAGCAAGAGAAACAAAGAAAAGAGTACTGAATTGACTATCAGTCCTCCTAGTCAGTAATAAAGAGAATCTCCTCACAGATAAAGAAGAGACAAAAGAGAAAAAAGAAAAGAGTACTGAATTGTTATGTAATATCAGTCCTCCTATATGTCAGTGAATAATGGACAATCTCCTCACAGATAAAGAAGAGACTTGAAGCAAGAGAAACAAAGAAAAGAGTACTGAATTGTTATGTAATATCAGTCCTCCTATATGTCAGTGAATAATGGACAATCTCCTCACAGATAAAGAAGAGACTTGAAGCAAGAGAAACAAAGAAAAGAGTACTGAATTGTTATGTAATATCAGTCCTCCTATATGTCAGTGAATAATGGACAATCTCCTCACAGATAAAGAAGAGACTTGAAGCAAGAGAAACAAAGAAAAGAGTACTGAATTGTTATGTAATATCAGTCCTCCTATATGTCAGTGAATAATGGACAATCTCCTCATAATAAAGAAGAGACTTGGAAGCAAGAGAAACAAAGAAAAGAGACAGTCCCTCCTATATGTCAGTGAATAATGGACAATCTCCTCACAGATAAAGAAGAGACTTGAAGCAAGAGAAACAAAGAAAAGAGTACTGAATTGTTATGTAATATCAGTCCTCCTATATGTCAGTGAATAATGGACAATCTCCTCACAGATAAAGAAGAGACTTGAAGCAAGAGAAACAAAGAAAAGAGTACTGAATTGTTACGTAATAGCAGTCCTCCTATATGGCAGTGAATGCTGCACCATCTCCTCAAAGATGAAGAACTGACTTGAAGCAAAAGAAATGTCGTTCTGCCGAAGGATGATGAGGATACCATGAGCCAAATATGTGAGAAACGGCGAAGTTCCAGGTAAAATGAAAACAAAAATAAAAGTTATATTCATCATCAGGAAGAGACCGCTTAAACTTCTGGGCCACATTATAAGGAAAGAAGGCTTGGAAAATCTGATACTCAAAAGTTAGATTGAAGGCAGGAAAACTACGCATACCACAATTAGTCAACTTAACTAAATGGATAACGAATGGGGTTTGGGAGAAATAAAAACAAAATTTATTTAGCGCTACAAAGAACAGAAAGCTGTGGAGAGCCATGATCGCCTACATCTTGGGAGGAACGCAACATGAAAAAGAAGAACATGTAACAAACCAGCACTGTTTTCTTTGTTTCTCAGCAGAAAAAGATGTTAGCTTTTGGAATGTTTTGTTCGCTAGACCGATGCGTACTTCGGCTTTCGGTGTCACATTTTCTTTTCTCTGTTAAAGCACTTCTATGATATTCAGAACTTTCTTGATGTTAACATCTCCAGTTTGTAACGCGTATCTTGAGTTATTTTTCTCTCTTACTAACGACTACACACTCATCTTGCTGTCGATAATTAGTCTTTTTCCCACCTTATAGTTGACTAAGAGGCCCTGTGGTTTTCTTTCTTTCCATCTCAGCCATCAACACAATGCCATCTGCGTATCTTTTATTGTTAAGATTACGCCCACCGATAATAAATTCTGCTAAGCTCTCCAATTCCCTGAAGATGGCATCGCTGTACAGGTTGAATGAATCTGGGAGAAAACTACAAAGCAATGGAGAGCGATAATCGCCTTTTCTGTTTTTGTGTAGCTACTCAATTCATTTTTATTCATATATTGACGGTTCGTACAATGGCATACCCGATACGCACTTGGGTGGCGATTTTACAGTTCATGCCTTGTTAGTTAGAAGATGTTCATGATATCAAAGCTGTTTCATCGACATATCTACTGACGTCAAGATTGTGACCGCCAATGTTGAATCCTGGTAAGACTTCAAATTCGATCAGAATCGCCTTACTGTTTAAATTGAATAAGTCCGGTAAGAAGACACATCCTTGCCTTACACTACTTTCTTTGTTTCTTGATATTATCAATTAACATT